GCCATGGCGCTAGAGACTGTCACGACCTGTCCTGCTGCCTATCTCCGGTTTGACATCTGTGTACGAGTAGATGCGCAGTGCACCCATGGCTGTTGGTCGGAAGATTGATTCGGAAAACTCGGAAGCGGCTACCGGGTATGGATAAGGCCTGCGGTTTGTCGGCAGCCACACCCTCAATCCTACCAGTCGGCACGTCGCTTTACTCTACGCCTGGACCAGGTTGCATTCTTCCTTGTCGCATGCGCCACTCTCGTGTAGTGCGACTCTGGCAGCGCTTGTGCAGCCATGACCTACGCCTAGCGATGGCTGACTCTCACTGTCGCCAGGCCACCAGACCGTCGTCATGGGCGTCGCCAAGCCACTGTCTCATGCTCGTTTATTGCCCGGGCCACACGACTATACTGACCGGCCAAACGTTGATAAGCGTCAATTGGCAATGGGCGGCTTCTCCAGCAAATAGTCTTTGGACCGATGGCTTGTCGTGTGCACGGCTTAGTTCATGCGCCTCCACACTCGAAGCCCTGCTAAGCCATGGGCGTCAGGAATCCCATACATGGGTGTGTTCTTCCGTCGCCCAACCACACACCCTTGGTATGTCAGGTATGCATTCGACTATTTCGCTCTTTGCATCCCAAAATGTCCATTACATCCCGCCCGTCCCTCTGGTTATCAACATGGCTGTCCGCTCACTCCCGCTCGCCGATGCGCCACAAAGCCACCAACCACTAATCACCCCGGCAAATTCGCACTCATCCATGGCTGTGGAATTGCGCCGCCGTATCTTCCTAGCAGCTAGCCCTTCCGTCCCTTGCAGCTTCCTTCTCCGCATTTGATAACGGATGGCGGGTCTGGGATCCATTTTTGTTACTGACAGTGCGCGCCGCATGGTTCACTCTCCGCACACGACTCCCCAGTCGATGCAGGTCCGAGGAGAGGTGAAGATATCAGAAAGATTACTATTAGCCTAGGTGGTTTGAGCTGGATGGGTGGGAGACGCACTGCGCCGTGCCGCACGCACCGGACACATGGACTGAGAAGGGTAATGGTTCAAGTACATGGATGTTGGGTTTGCTGACTATGACCTAGTTTACTGCTTTACTTACTACAGACTGTACCGTGCGATTTTTCCGTCGGGAAAGATAAGAGATTCGTTGGGCATTGTTCGCGTTCAATCCATCTGCAACTCCAACCTTTTTGACCAAGATGCAGGATCGGGTCGAGGTAGGTTCTTGTATCTCCTTGCTGAGGCCAATCGTTTGCAGTCGGGCTGTCACCAACGGTGCGATATTATGTTGTAGTACATGTGGTGAATTCTTTGCAGCGAGCTCTGATGAACACAGTGTAGAACATGACTAGGTAAGGTAGAAGATGTGGCCATGTTGGCAACAGGTGAGAATGCACAATATCGCAGGTTTGCGTTTTTATCCTAATGACACTCAACTTTACAAACATGTACCTCCTTTTTCCAAATCCACACCGTGACTGCAAATGAATTCAACCGCAAAGACACTAGACTTGTTTCCTCGTCTATCCACTACCCGCAACTACACCGAAGCCATGTCCTCATTCCCGTCACCACTTCACGCCCATTCTCTCTCTCTCTCTCTCTCCCCCTCTCTCTTCACCAACACCCACACCAACCCAGGCTCACCAAAATAGATATGAAAAACAGCCCCATCCC